AGGGTGGAGGGGTAGTATAGTGGGTGGTAACGGAAAAATTAAAATTTGAAAAAAAAAAAAAAGGGCCTTTTTGGATAGAGGGGATGGGATGGGTTGGTGAGGGTTGAAAAGGAGTATTGTAAAATATTTTTCCTTTTCTTGATAAGGAACATTTAAGCCAATCAAACATGAAAATTTGAAAAGTTTTTCTTCAAACCAAACACACCAAAATGCATTTTTCAAAATAAGCAAATTTTAGAAGCTTGGCCAAACTCACACCCAAGACTTAAGCTCGTTACTACTTCATATAGTCACAGTTCTCCGAAAAAAAAGAAATTTCCAATCAATGCTAAATCCTCAAGGTAGTTACCATGACGTTTTCATTCACATGACCTCCAGCTTGCCAAGACAATATCTTACCTGCAAGTGGAAGGTTATATCAGTTTGAAAACATGCAAACAAATTAATGTGGTGAAAGCAATTAAATGTGTATTTTGTCCACCTGTCACATTGAAAGGCACAACATGGCAGATTAGTGAATATGAATTTCAAGATTATCGCATATATGATAAAACTCGTAAAGTTGATAAAACGACATGCAGGTGTCAGAGAAACCAAGAATACTAGAGGATAACATGCACATTACCAAAAGGTTGCACGAGCTGCTTAGGTATGGAAGCCACAGGGATACGCCAAAACCATATAATCAGCAACAAGTACATTAAAACCTGTGTGATCAGCAGCTGATTAATTATCTTACAGTTAAAACAAAGTTTGTAAAAGTCTTGACTACCAAAGATTGCATGCGTTACCTTTAAGATCATCAGGGTCTTTGTGTGTGAATCATATGACGATTTCATTTCTTTTCTGAGTTTTTCATGATCTGTATGGCACCAAATGTCGTAATTGAGAGTAAACAAAAACAAGAACACCAAACGTACCTCAATCGCAAACTAGTTAAGATAGGTTATATGAATCCTCAATATCCATTTGGATTCTTGTACCCAATAATTTGGATTTAACAACAAATTAACGTTTTTTTCACTAGGGGATCTCTTTACTTTTTGACTGGCATACAAATCCAAAACAAACTAGAACACCTTCGGCAGAAAAGGATGAAATGTTAGTACACCAACATGACTAAACTATAATCCCAACTAGCTAATATCACCTATTTCGTTCTTATGCATCCATTATGTTCTATTCTTTGCTAAATCCACATAGGTTTATAGGTCAAATAGTTTTAAGTCCTAACAATAGGCAGGTGTATTTGGTACTTCAATATGAGCTAATTGTTCATGGAGTAGAATACATTGTTAATGGAATTGATAATTTGCTCTGAGATGACTATAACAGCTATTATAACCCCTCGGCCTCAAGTTTGCCAGAAAAGTTATGATGTAAATTGCTGGTTCTGTGCACGCTAAATGTGATGTGCCGAGAAGATGGGATGGGTCAGTACGAGAAAAAAATGTTAAGGTGAAAGTCCTAGCATGCCAAACCTTGTTCCTTTAGTACTGAACCTCAAACGAGAGATATTTTGCTCTTGAAGGCATCTCAGTATGGTTGTTTCACCACCCAAATTCTTTAAAAGGCGGTACAGGACTAATTAGAGCATAGCTAAAATGGATAGGAGTACTTCTAAGCATTCTTCTATCAGCTTGCTCGCTACAGTAGCCTGAGTACACCAGGCAAAATACAATATCTGGGACTCTGACTGCTACTTCTTACTGTAGTGATTTCTACTACGAGTAGCATCAGTTTCTCTGTGCATGCTATTTTACTTGTCCAACTATAGTTTGATGGGGCACTACGAACATATGCAGCAACATTCCTATAAATAAAGTCTACAAGAATTATGAATAAACAGTAGTATCTATTCTAAGCATGGTAGTATATGCCATACTTTTTAAAAGTTCCTGCTCCTTGGCTGCTGCCATCCTCCTTAGTTTGGCAGCTTGTGCAAATGTTGAAGGCCTGATATCAATATGAAAACAACATAAAGTTTTACAAATCATAGATACTGTACAAAATTAGCATGATCTAAAAAGTGAATTATCAACAAATGGCAATTCTAATTTTCTTAGATAAAAGCCCAGAAGGAACAGAAGAAATACTAGTATTTTGGTTGGAAAATTACTACTATCAGAATTATTAGCAACCTACTAGAAATACTATTTTGGTTAAGACATCATAACTTTTACCATAACGGGGGAATTACAGATATCATGTGTCTACTTAAACCTACAACTTTGGTTTGCACCATCTATCATTACTATCGACATAAAGTTTTCCACTCAATATAGCTTGAAAAGCTAATGATACTCCACCCTTTGCAATATGACACTTTCCTTTTTGGAACATTCAAAAATGTTAGACACCATTTTATTTTCACACACTTTTCACAACCTTCAGGAATTGAAATTTATTAATTAATTCAAGCTTTGAACTTTGATATAATATTTTCTCTATCAAACCAGATTTTCAACAATTACTTTAACATTTTCGTCCATCATCAATTTTACAATATAAAAGTCAAATTAAAATCTTAAACGCAACTGTCAGATAAATATCAACATATAGAATGTGATAGAGGATTACATAGAAGGATGTAAACTTGTCACATTCATGGAGAAATTTACAAAAAGTAAATATTGGTCAAGATAAGCTTTAAATATAGTCATGTAGAAAAAATATAGTCATGTAGAGAAAAATATGACACTCTGTGCAGAGGCAGAACAAGAATTTTATTTCTATAGGTTCAGTATTCGGATTTAACTACTGAATCCATCACCTTATTCGGGTTATGGGTTCATAGTTCAATATTTTCAACAATTCCATTGAATTTTACGTAGATAACTTAGATCTAGGGTAGAAGATTTGAACCCATAACTATACTACTGGATACGCCGCGTGGAGAACTCCAAAACGAATTACAATAGAAGACGTCGAATTCCTACCCAAGACTACATAAATATTAGTTACTCGAACAATTGGAATCACTTACTGCGACATGGCATTCGCCTCCTTTAGCAGCTGTTTGATTTCTGTGCGCAATTGCAACTCCCCAGCATTTACAGAAACTCTCTGAAAACAAAGATTGTTATATTAGACATAAGACAGTAGCAAAACAATTAACTGTTTTAAGAAAAAAGAGTAGGAGATTCATGATTTATCTACAAACGGATTTGTGTTAACTGGTGACAAATCGACCATTCAAATACTTGACAGCTCAATTAAAAACAACTTTCTCCGACCCATAGCAAATCAATATTCAGCAATTGATGGTATTTTCTGAGCGTGTGTATATATATATATATGTACACAGACACACAGTCTTTCACTTCCCAGACACTGAGACACACTGTACGTATGTATTCATATCTTATCATTATGAAATTAACACCAAACGAAAAATACAAAATGAGTTTTAAGTTATATACTACACTATCAGGTCACACAAAGAATATCTAGAGGTAAGTCTCTTAAAATGTTACCTGCTAACCTGATGGTGTAAAAATTTCTTACATCAGACTTAGAAAATGGGTGACAAAATTAAGAGTGTATGAGATGAGAAAGTACATCTCCATAAATACACACTTATAATGTTATACATGGATACTATAATATATACACACATGCAGACAGATATAGATATGTATCTAAACAGCAAATCATTGTAAAATTAACATAAACCAAATCTAAAAAAGAGGTGAAAATTAAGAAAATACACTCATATTGATTTCGACATAGCGAGAGAGGTACTGAACAGCGACGACAATAAGGAATATCATCGGCGCGGCTACCGATCCTTCAAGTTTCACCATTGATTCTTCCATTTTCGCCTCTGAGGAGTTTCCGCTCCAAGGGCTTTCTCCTGCTTAGCTATTTTGGCTTTGGGGATTCATGTCTGCTTCATTTTCGTTGCCTGTGCAACCAATATGTCCGCAGATCTTTCGTGCTTTAATTTTTTCTCCAGTTTTCTGACACTTTTGGCTTTTGCCTTTTGTTTCGAAATTTTCATTATTTTTCTTGTCACGTATTTTAGATTACCTCTGAAAAAGTCAAAAGACAATTGGCAATGAAATTTGGGCCACTCGAAAAAATGGCTTTGTAGAGTGGACAGGCCCATTAAACTTGGATTGCCCAAAAAGACAAGTAGCCGCTTGTAGCATTTCTGTTCAAAACAATATTCAGTTTTTTTTAAAGTTACTTAAAATTAATCAGTTTTGGCAAACATTAGACTAATAGGCCAAACTTCAAAAATCTGTAAGAAATTAAGCTCAAAGTAACAATATAATGAGTACCTAGAATGAGAGAAGAAGAGATAACTTTCTTATTTCATCAAGTGTTCAAGCGTATACAATATTACTTCTCATCTTTTATCTATATTATAACATAGAGGTATGCAAAAGAATATCATAAACATGGCATTAAGCATTTGAGATCATGGAAGAAGATCATGGGGGGCTTATGAAAGCATGGGAGTTACAAACATAAGTATTGGAATAGTGGGAGTTATGGAGATAATGGAGAAGAGTAGTAGGTATTATTCCTTTGGTGGTTATGGATATCCACCATAATTTAATATTTTATAATGTGACTCGTCAAAACCTTACTAGGAAAAAACCCTGTGTGAAAAAAATCCTAGTGAAAGAAAAAGAATACACATATATAGTAATATGCATTGCTTGCTGCCTCATTAAAAACCTTGACAGAAAAACTCAATGGGATAAAACCTTAGCTAAGGAAAAAAGAGTACAGTGCGTATTTGTCTCCCTCTGATGAAAACATCACTTTATTTCTCCGAGATGACGTGTTCCCATCCTGTATACCAACTTCTCAAATATTGAGGTTGCTCATGCTTCATTAAACAGAACCACCAAACTATCAAGCGAACAAATTTGTTGAACATCTATTTCACCGTTCGGTGAAGAATGTATCTGATAAATAACTTTGATGAAATATATAATTAATCATGTCTCCTTCAATATATCCTTCTTTCAATTGAGATAAGCAAATATCATCGTCTTCACTATTATTGGAATCTTCTCTGCAAAGAAAAGCCACACATCTATTATGTGTTGAGTCACTTGCTTTATCGGCTGCTAGTATATTGACATGACTTGAATAAGTATCAATAAATGACTGCATTGTGAAATAATAATATGGCAGTATCCTCACATACAAATAGATTGTTTGAAGAACGAACTTTAGAAAATATTTGCATTTGCTTAACCAACAAAACTTTGATAATATTTGTTAGATTAAACAAATCATATCAAAGATTTCTTTTTCAATATAATACTAATAGTATTCCAATATCTTCGTATAGGAATAAAATTATATCTCGCTTGCATATTGTTATACTCATGGTTCTAGCAAGATACATTAGTACACCACTTACAATAGACACAAGAATAAATCATGTACCCATGATTGCTAATCCATATAAGGATTTGTTGAAGCTTTATTTAATAAATTTCTTGGGAACCTTAATATGCTTCAGAATAGTTTAAATCCTTTAATGATTTTTATATACGCATATCAAAAAATTTCAGGTATTGCCAGACTAAAATCTGAAAGCAACTGCTGATATCGCCCAAACTCACACCATAAGTATAGGTAGTAAGGCGGTCGAAGCAATAATAAATCCCAACACGAGTCAGGGTAGAATCCTCAGGGAGTTAGAATTGAGATTAGGTATATATTTAGTGCAATTGTGTGATGTGCCTCAAATTACTCTTCCACATTCTTGTTTGTTGTTATTTTTACTTCTACTCTAAGCTATTGATTACAAATATGAAACTAGGAGACAATATTTTTTATTTTGGTTATTTTTCAAATGGTAAAATATCTAGGGTCGTGACTTTCACCCAGGTGGTTACTAACGGGTTGTAAAATCTAGGCAATTTGATTAGTCGGGGTTGTAATATAGCAATCACACACAATTACCCACTCTATACCTCTCGGTAGTTTGAGTGATTTTGCCCAATTTGGCTTTCTCAAGTCCAAATGGGTATTGCACAAAACAAGTAATATTTGCTCAAGTTGGGTCTTACTATATCTAGATTTGAACCTTTATTTGGGGCCATCAATGTCTTGAGTTCACCCCAATTTCTTGTTAGCCAAGTTTTCCTAGACTTAGTCTCTCTTTCTCAAGTAGAGACTAAGTCAAATAGGCATGAATCAATATTTGCAACCATTGATTCTAGAATTCAAGTATGAACAAGGTTAAATATCACTAACCCAATCATAAACAAGCCCTAAATCAAATACTCATTAAGTAACCATACTAGGGTTGGGCCACGAGCCTAGCTAGAAATTTGGCTACTCATGAAATTTGAAGAAATACAATAAGAATTTAAGATAGAATGCATAATAATTGATTAGAGAAAGAAAATATAATGTTTAGACGTTAATCTAGTACACAATTACTCAAAATAGTAAAAAAAACGGCTCTGGTGCTCTCCCAACATAAAACGTAACCTAAAAATGACAAAAGGTTCTATTTATACTAAGCTGAAAATATCTGACAAAAATGCCCCTACGAAGGTTGTGCGGCCGCATAATTCTGGTGTGGTCCACACAATGAGCTTCTGTGGCCGCACTATTATCGTGCGGTCCGCATTCTTTGGAACTTGGGCTTGGAACTTTGGGGCTTCTGCGGTCCGCATAAAAATGAGTGCGGACGCGCTTCTGATTGTGCAGTCGCACAAAAATAATGCGGTCTGCACTCCTTGACTTTGGACTTGAATCCAGCTCTCTGATTCTTCACTCCTGCGGACTGCATAATAGTGAGTGCGACCTCATAATTTTGGTGCGGTCCTTCAGCTGGCCCAAAGACTACTCTCTGAATCTCCTCTCTGCGACCGCACTAGAATTGTGCGATCCGCACTGCTGGCCTTTTTGCCTTGTTTTGATTCTTGTTCACTTTTGACTCCTTTATGAGTTGATTTTGACTTCTTTGGCTTGTTTCCCAATATTCCTACAAGTAAGCACATTTTGTTAGTTTTCGGGAATACCTTTAAGCATGTTTGAGCTAAAACGCAAGTAAAATAGAGCAAATAAGAGGTCAAAATCCCAACTTATCAACTCCCCCAAACATAAGCTTTTGCTTGTCCTCAAGCAAATAGGCAATTCCCACTTTCACTAGAAAAAAGGATATTTCAACTAGCCTAAGGTGAATCAATTACACATTAATTGGGACCAACAATTACCCGCAATATATATGAATTATCAATAACGCAATGATTTGACTTTTTGAGTACAATAGTTCTAGTGTGACACTAGAGCATCAAGAGTTGACTCTATTCATCAAGGAAGTTCGCTCTTTCATGTAGGTCATTGCGTATCCCAAGCTCCTCCTCCTCTACTCTCCATTAGCATATCTCACTTTAGACTGCAACACTTGAAGCAAGGATTGTGAAAAGTTCGCTCATCTCTCTCAAAAGAACGTCACAAGTCTGGCTTTAAGTACCATAAGATTACCCCTTATGTAAATCACCACTAATGTAAGCTCACTCAACTTGAAATCATGTAGGGCTTTTACAGGATGTAATAAAGGCTTTTGGACCAAGGTAGGACTTGTTGAAATAGAATGGTTTCATCTTTCCTTAAGCACTCCATATTCTCTTTTTGGCTCATACTTTCTCAACTCTTTGAGTCATCTTCTTCTTCCTCGGGGGAACTAGAGAGACGTAATGTCATTCTTTCTTGATCATGGCATTCATTTTTCTCCTTTTCTATTTACTTCAGCCTTTCATCCTTATTTTCTTTTGAATTCCCTTCAAATTTTCACTTTATTCACTTTCTTTTGGCATTTTTCTTTTTGTTCTTTCTTTCTTTTCTTTGCCTTCCCTTTTCTTTATTTCTTTTTCTTCTTTGTATCTTTTATCACTTCAAACTCCTCGTCTCTCCTCCAAACTTATGTTTTTGCATCAAAAAGATATGGCTATCTCTCTAGGTTGCACAACCCCTTTAGATCGTTCTATTCATGCTTGAAAAATGACCCCATCGCTCCTTTTAATGGACATTCTTAGCCGTCCTCCGAGGGTTAACACCCCATAGATCAGATCTTGCCAATTGTTTCTCAAGAATGCTAAGGAAAGATTAGGTGCCAAAAGAGGGTTATTACAAAAGGGATAAAGGCTTGTGACGTGGTTATTTGAAAGAAAAAGGCTTAGGCTCGAAGGGTTTGACTAGGGATATCACATTGGTAGGCTATGGAAAATTTCAAATTTCAAATTGGATCAAGGAGAGCCTACAATCATTTGTCAAGCCAAGCTACACTTAGAATTTTGCCTAGAAAAACATTCGAGGCAAGTTCTAGACCTTTAGCACGGGTACTTAGACTTGCAACTAAACATCTCACCTCTCACGCTTCTGGATTGCTAAGGAGTATGGAGTCGAGGGCCCACAACAACCCTGGCTAAGATTGAGAATCACAAAATGGCTCGACTGAACCACTCGATGACTGTTTAAGTCAACACAAGAGTCAAAAGGTCACAACTAGAAGTATTTCCTACCAACAACTTGTTTTAACCATACAATCATAGGTAAATATGTTGGTACCAAGTGAAGCATGCTTGAAACCCTTTTATCCATTACTACTATATTTGCCTAAACATAAAAAAACTGACTCAATCCCTTAAGAAGGTTGTCATGCCATCCATCGTTTGGAAGAGCCACTCGGTACACACAAAATCCACCTTTGGAAAGAACCGTGGCATTAAGAAAACCAAAGGCTTATTGTTCACACAAAACGACAGAGAAGGTAACAAATCAAAAAGAAGCTACTAAAGTAGATAAGAAGTTATACTACTAAGAAAGACAAAGTAAAGAAGCTACAAAATAAACTACGGAAAGTAAGAAAAAATGAATATTACAAACCAAAAGGAAATGAGGGAATGAATATATACATCAATTCTAAAGGGACAAATATATACATACCAAAGGGAAAATAAAGATGAAAGAAAAATAGTGCAATAGTTATTACATGCCAAATGTCAATGTAA